CCATAAAATCACAGGCAGAAGAATTTTTTTTCTTTATTGATGAGAGGAGGACAACTTTACATGAGAAGACAACATATAGAGATAAGAGAAATGGAAAACAATTAGAATGGGTGATCAATCAATGCAGAATCACCATCTCACTGCTTGTGAGGCTTCTCCTCCGAAGAGAACTTTTCAGGAGAGGCATGGAACAGGAGGGTTCACCACACCTTGGGCTAATCCATGGACATTAAGGCAGTAAGAAGTTGCAGTTTCGCCAGGTTTGGGATTAGCGATAGTGAGGTTGACATCGTTCAAGACTATATCATGGCAAGCCACCGAGCAGCTTGCTAGGGTTATAGCCACATCTCTACTTGATGTTCCATGCAGGTTAACATACTTGATTTGGCTTATCTTGATGGATGAAGTCTGCACAATCCAAGTGAGAAATTGGGTGAGAAAGTAGAATAATGGGGTGAATGATGGGTCGTTGGAGGGGGAATTTACTTATAAATCGAAAAATATTTATAGTATTACTATACGGTCAATAGTTTAGTAAAATTCATATGGAGGTCCTACTTTCTTTTTATTTTTTCACAGTTTTGCCCAACAGGTTTTTTCTAAATTTTTTTAAATAATAACAATAACAATAACAATTGTTGTTGTTGTTATTATTATTATTATTATATTTTTTATCTTTTTCACTTGTAGGGTTGTATGAGAAGTTAGAGGTCTTTTGGTTGTTGCTCTGTACATCAGACAGCCCTAAAGTTGAGTTTGATATCCCAAATGTCAGATGTCTCCATCATGGGGGTGTTGCCTTATTTTGGGTTGGTCCAACATCAGAAGGACTATTTATTTACTTGATTCTTGCATTAAAGAGAGAGGAAGCTTTTGCATGTTAGAGACAGAGATTTTTACTTATCTATGCATGAGAAAATTACAATTCTTTCCTAGCTTTATTACCATCTGAGTGATTTTTTTTGCAAAAAATTACGACGAACACACCCAGCAATAAAAACATGAAAACTAGAGAATACTATGGCCAGTCCAGTATTTTCATTACCGAACAATGCAACATCCAAAAGCACACGAGCTCCCTCTGTGCGGAGACTGAGAGAAGGGGGTAATCTCTTCAAGTTGATCGGAGTTGTTCCCTCCCTCTTTTTGTCTGAGACGATGACTCTCTGCTCGTCTCAGTGGCCAAGGATGGCTCCGTCTCCGTTGAGCCTCTAATCCATGCCCTTGAATTTCCTGAGATTCCTCTATATTTTTAAGCCTAAGCTATAGTTTTCTTGCTTTTTTTCGTCTTCAAAACATCTTTTTAGGTACTTGGCAGAGGGTGCATTAAAAGTAAGGGAGTGGGGATTCTTTGTCCCCATGTCTTTGGTATCAAGCTTCATAGTACGAGAAACAAAATAGTATATTTATTTTCTATTCTATTTATTTTGATCAAGTTTGTTGCTCTATTACTCGATCCTTTCTAACTATAAGAAAATCCCATCATTTACTCATCTTAATTTTTGCCAAAAATATACTCATACGGTAATAAATGAGCAAAAATGGTGTCTGTATGTAATTCCTCTTGATGCATATTGTGATAAGGAGAATGGGTTTAATTACTAAAGTGGACTCACCTAAGGTTATGAAAGATTTCTGCCATATTGGTTTATGTAATGTTCTATACAAAAATCATTAGTAAACTTATTGTTAAGAATCAATAGCCCTCTACCAATATTTCGTAGCATGGAATGAATCATGGCATTAGTGTCAGATTCTCACTTTCCCATTCATCATGGGTTGGATCATTTGCTGGGCAGCTCTTTCATTTTTCCTATGCTTTTAACCCAATTTTCTCTGGCTTCCTTTGAACACTTTCGTAGATTGGGACCATTCTAAAAAGTTTGTCTCATCTAGTTTACATGTAGGGATCATCAATCCTAGGTGTTACAAATTGACTACTTCCAAGGAAATAATGTTCTCAATTTCTGACATTCTCGTTCTTTCTCAAACTAGAAACCATAAGGCTTTTTGCCAAGGTACTAATTCTTTAGTTCCAAAAGTGAGGTTGCTGGAAATATAAAGTTACTAAAAATATAAGGCTGCAGGACATATGATGTTGCTAGAAATATGAGGTTGCTACTAAAAGGAAGGTGTTTGGGATAAATACTTACTTATTAGTAAAGAAAAGTCAGATGATCTTTCTAGAAATACAAGGATGCTGATATCCACTGCTTTAATTACAAGAAGGAAGAAAAGTCATCGTTCTAGAGTCACCAAAAGTAAAATAGATATCCTAGGGTGTCAAGCCCTGATATGATATCATGTTAAGAGAAAGTAATATCCAAGCACAAGATAAAGAAAATGTAGATATGTTTCTCACTCTAAGCAAATCATGGGGTGATTTCTCCTATATATATTCAAATCCCCATAGGAGTGAGAATACAAATAGGTCAACAAGCGTAAGAATTCCAACTATTGTGTATGACTGTTACAACCCCATATGTATAACTGTTACTGGAGTGTTATATCAAAAAAAATTACCCAAATATAGTAGGATATTGTACACATTATCACCACATAGGTTTCCCTAATAACCATGAGGGTCGTAATTATTTTCGAAAGGCTTGATGATGTAGTTCCCCATGTGCGCTAGCTTGTTGAGGCCATGGTAATGGGCTAGCTTGTACGGGCCATAAATCTTGCCCCCATCGTGGGGATGCAGGTACACAAAGGCCAATTTTTCTCTCCCTCCCTGGCCACATAACTCATTAAATGGCCTACAACACTCTCTCCACCAGCTCTTTCTTTAAATGCTTTAGCTAGTAAAGAACTTGGGCGAGTCCACGCTCGAATAACTAACCCCGGGCTAGTAGTGAGGTCCTAGCCCAGGGCGTTTCTCAGCACACTGACAGTACGTAATGCGCCGATTTTGAACAATGAATCAAAGCAATGGAAGGAAACAAAGTTCTTTGAATGACATGAACTAAAAAGAAAAAAAACAACAATCAAAGTGTCACCAAAACAAAAACTTCTTTTCTTTTTTAATTTTTCTGTTTCTATGAGAGCGAGTAATACCAGTGAAACTGTTCTCGACATTGACATGTTCCGAGCTTCGGATATGTATGCCATCAGAGTTGCGCCTATCTTCTGGACAATTAATTTGGAGACCCCCTATGTAAACAGTAATAGAATTATGCATTGCGATATGTCTTTGCTGGCTATTAACAATGTGCAAATCCCTCAGTTTTAGATTGGTGCACACATCGAAGCTCAATGCCCGCACAAAGCCATATTAGTTTGCTCAGATAATTTTCCCAATGTATCTTAATACATGTATCATATTAATATTTAATAGTAATTTAGAAAACAAGCCAAAAATAAAAATACCAAGAAAAACACCAACATTATATGTTATAGTGTCCTAAAACTTTTCATTTCAATACAACTCGAACCTAGAAAGTTGTTGCATAAATTTATAAAGAATCCAGTTTCTCATAAATCTATTTTTGAGATAGATTTTAAGACTAATTTTTAAGGACATGTAATCTCTAACATGGAGATCGTGAATAAAGAATAAATGAAATTTAAATACTAAAAATAATAGTTTTAGTAAGAAAAAATTTGGGAGGTTGTTTTCCATTATTCTTAGATGGAACACCTACTTGCATCCATCTTTAAGACATATACTTTACACTTTCTGGATCGCATATGTAGAAATGAGGTCCAGCCCATATGAAACAATTTTCCATTTATAAATTATGCTCTAGTTACAAACCCAGTTGTAAGTTATGTTGTAGTTACAAACCCACTTATGCTGCTTAAGAATAAAACCACTCTCTTTATATGTGATTATCAAGTATCATTATGCTTGTAAATTTTTACAATACCAATTAGAAAAGGCTAATACCCGAAATCTCGGTCCTTCAAAACTCTAGTCAGAGAATCCAAAATTATGGATCGCTCGAATGGTTTATGCAATGTTCCGGAATCATGTTATCGTTTGAAAAGTAATAAAGAGAGACACTAACCGTGGGTGCCGTCCCGAAATCATCCTGCAGAGAAAAAGAGACACCACTTACCGTGAGTACCGTCCCGAAACTATCCTGCAGAGAAAGAAAGAGACCACAAATGAGATAAGAAACATGGTACTCAATGCTAAACAGAAGAATAATAATAGCATTGTTATCAAGAGAAACTCATAATAGATGGCAACTTTAAAAATTTAAACAGTCAATTTAATTGCAAGTGGTGAAACCATCATTTCTTATACTAAAAATAAAAATAAAATATGTAATTGATTTTTCCTCTCAGATCTTCCTTGATGATCGTGGTTTTGTACCCATTTGAAACCATGATTCTAGTTATATAATAACAACAACAATTACAATAACATGATGATACTACCGTACATATTCCAAAGAGCTAGTATTCCATGCTAGAAAATTCGGTTTCAAATGGTTGATAGTAGGAAAGGCATTCCTGCTAGCAAACCATTTGAAACCAAAATCGCAACACAACAAGGGGTAGTTTTTCCCATTGGAAATCTCCCTCAACAAGAGAGAATGCCAAGAAATTAGCTTCACAGCTCCTGGAGTATGAAGCGACTTTCCAATGAAAGAGACGAGATTTCCCAAATTTTCTATGGTGGTGATGCACCATAAGGATTTACGGATGTCCCACTAACCAAACATGGAAATGGCCTAAGTAGAAATCTGTGTAGAGAGAGATTTCCAAGGTACCGAACGTGCCCTAAATAAACTCTATCATCAATAGCATAAGGGAAAGGTTTCTACGCTTCCCCTATAATATAGAAGTTCTATCCTCTCCCTACCATCCAGCCGTCCAATTTTGATCAAGAGAGCCACTCATTGTTTGATCTTAGATCAGACGTCTCAAAATATTTTATATTTAGTTTTTTTTACACAAATTGTATGAATATAAAATTTGGTACGTGCCATATTCTCATTGGGGCGCACCTATAAAAATAATAAAAATATGTTTTCGATAAAATTTAATGACCATAAAACCCCTTGAAAATATCAGGGGTATTTTGGTCATTTAATTTTATTGAAAATATTTTTTTCATATTTTTTTCTAGTTCAAGTTTAATAGAGGAATTTCGAATATTTGGTGTCAAAATAGTTTCTTAAAAAAATTTAAAAATAAAATAGTATAGAGACATGACATTATGATTGGGGCAATCTTACCCCTCTATTCAGAATGGAGGGTTGGATAAGAGGAAGGATAGAACTTCTATACTGTAGAGGAAGCATAGAATGTATGCCCCTAGGATAATGCTATGACATTTGTGCAAAAGAAGTAGGGGCCGTCACTTGGTGCAACAGTAAAAGGCTTGGGGGGGTAGCCAGGTGAAGGTATATTTCGCGAAATGTTGTCTTCAATGAACAAATTTCTTATTTTCGAACTGATTAGCCTCAGGGGAGATTAGCAAGACAACCTCTACCCAAGATATCTAAAAAATGGATGGTCCTAATTCTAGAGTCGAAGTCATTAAGAGTACTACGCTAAATCAGGAATTACCTCAAGAATCCATTCTTGATACACAACTAGAATCCAATGAAGAGGTTCAATCAAATGAATATCAAGAGGAAATAATTACTGAAGACTTTCAGCCAAGACGATCTAGTCGTATTAGTCAACCTCCTCCTAGTTTAAAGGATTACTATGAAAGAAAGACCTATGTGATCTTTTACCTGATAATACATTTTCTTTTTTTCTTCACCCCTTTCGTTTAGCAAAGGATCACTTACATGTGGTCTTTATTATAATAAGATAAATTTCAAAATAAAATCAATATAACAATAAAACCAAGATCTTAACAACTTGATATCATTGAAACAAGTATGCACTATGCTTGAGAATAAAATATAAGATTGCAAGAAACAAAAAGAAGAGTGTCGGAGATTACCTTAACCGGGCTGATTACTCCCCACACCGAGTTACCACCATCCGATGGCGCTGGATCAACGGTCTAGCTTTAATCTCGAATAGGAAAAGCAAATTTTGGCCAAGCCAAATAAATGGAACATGAACCCCTTTAATCACAAACCCAAACGCAAGGTGAATTCTTTTAGCAACCTAATTTAAGAGAAATATATTCTCTTTTTTCTAAACCCTAAAACCCTTAGCCATAAATCCATATTTGAGAATAGGAGATAGAAGAACTCCATAACCTGTGGGACAGAAAGATCAAACAGGAGAGAGAGAGAAACTTTCTTAAGAGAGAGAGATAGAAAAGTAAGGTGTAAAGATTTTGCGTAGAGACAATCCCTTTTTTACAAGATTGAACATAATTAGGGTTACTTAGGATTTTCCTCGACTTGCCACTTCTTGTGAGATTGAACATAGACCGTCGATAAATCCATATTTGAGAGATAGGAGAGAGAAGAACTCCTTAACATGTGAAAGAGAAAGATCAAACAGGAGAGAAAGAGAGAAACTTTCTTAAGAGAGAGAGATAGAAAAGTAAGGTGTAAAGATTTTAGGTAGAGACAATCCCTTTTTTACAAGCTTGAACATAATTAGGGTTTCTTAGGATTTTCCTTGGCTTGCCACTTCTTGTGAGATTGAACATAGACCGTCGATTAAGGATGACTTGTGGGGTGAGAGATCTGAGCCATTCATTCCATAGATGGTCATCAACATTATGGAATGTGCATGGACCATTATCCTCCTTTCCTTAACCATTTTCCCATCAATAGAGATTAGATAAATTAAATCTAATTAAAATATTATGCATTCCATAATCTTTCACAAAATATTGAAAAGATACATCAAGTAAATATACACTTTCAATATTTGGTCAATATATGGTAAAAATATTTCTTATCTCATTTGACCACATGTCATCACATAATATTACCAAAACATGAAATAACTTAAAATCCAAGAAAGAATCCAATGGGTGGGGCGTACCACCCATGTGTGGCACATGTGGGACCCACGCACTTGACACATGGTGGGCCCATGTGTACTATGGGCCCCTCCATGATATTTTAAATAATTTAAAATTATCAAAAAAATTCTAAAACATTATTTGAATTTTATAAGTTTGTAAAACCAATATCTTCATTTTTATAGGTCAAAAAAAAATTATAAATGAAATATCAAATGACTCATAAAAATTCAAATAATAATTCTAAAATAATTTCTATCATAAAACAAACATAATGAAATTAACTTGATGGGAAATGGATCCATATGGTTAAGGAATTTAATCTGCAATTTTACATACCACACTTGCCTTATCCAACCTATCCAGTGTTTCTCATGACCTGTCTAAGCAAGGGCTCATTAGCGGGTCACCAAAGTCTGACGGATGAGCTAAGGGGTCGTAATCCCAATTTGTAGATTACAGTTCCTCCCCTAGAGATAAGTCAAGGTCACCAAGACATTATGCGACCACAGCACTATGACGCACAGGGGTATCTCTCGCACATGCATACGCTTCACCCTAAAAGGTGGATTTCTAGCTTTCCCGAACGATCTATCGATATGCATGCCGTGTGATGGTACATGGATGAGGTTTTGGCCCCTGTCTCTGTGGGCCACCATTACATACAAGGGTCACACAGTCCCTCGGCTCACTCTCCAGGCTTGTTCTCCGACCTCATCAAGGGCTAACCCATAAACCTTCATCGGTTTATTCTTCATGCCCAGGTAACATGGGTATTTCCCAACCGACTGGCCTAAATCATTAAGCACATATCAGTATCAGCAAACTATCGTTTGCTTAGTATGGTCCACGAAGGGCCACACTCCCACTGAGTTCATGTTCCACTATATCATTTCATTTTACAAGCACGCATAAAGCCTTTAATGGCCACATAAACCCAACATCTCCCACTTGGTTTTTGAATGTTGTACATTCTCTCTTTCTCACTTTATCTTATTCCCATCTCTCTCTCCCAATTACAATCTCTCTCAAGTATTTTTACTTATTCTCTCAATACAATAATCTTGGCTTTCGCCATCAATCCTTTCACAAAAGGATTTATAGAGGCAACACATTTTTCTCTTCGTTGCTCGGATCTCATCTCAAAAATGCTCGTAGCTCATCTTTCACATCTCATCGCGAATCATGGACCTGTTGTCGCAAAAGATCATCACATACCCTCATCGCATGGGGTCGTATGTTCATGGGCTCAAATGAGTTCTTTAAATAAGATGCTCCCTTTTGTAGCCTTACAATGCAATTTTTAGCTTCACATTTACTTCATAATGCAATTTTTTCAGTTGAAAATCAAGTTGAGCACCACTTAATAAAAAATTTGTTTCTCTCATTCCTCAAAGAATTTCTTCTTGAAATCTTTTGTGTTGAAAACTAAATCAAATCATAAGATCATAGTTTGAATCCCAAATAATACTTTCCTTCAGAGAAATAAGTAAGTGACATTCACGTCACAAAATAAATCATACTGCAGAATTCTAAGATGAACATTATCTAATAAAATTGACGTTTCTCTCTATCATCATGGAGTTTCTCTTTCAAACTAATTTTGTTTGAAATTAAACACATAATAGTAACACATATATTTTCACAAGCCTTATATCACTCTATTAAATAGGCTTGATGAATATAGCTATTTATGTCTTCAATGAAGGACATACCAAATTACAGAAAATTTAGGATAACCTCTCTTCAATCCAAAATTTTTATTCCTCTCTTCTCATAGATATTTCTCTCTCAAATAAATTTTATTACAAATTACACTCAGAATGGATATCTAAAAACTTAGTGTGAACGATAAAACATTTTTTTAAGAATAGAAATTAAATCTTAACTTTCAAGTTATGAAAATAATTTTCGTTGCAGAAAACAGCACTTGTATATCCTTCAATAAATTGATCATATCTTTCCAACTACAAGGATTTTCTTGATAAAATATTTTTTGTTTGAAAGTAGACTCAATTTTATGAGTCCCAGTCCAATTTGAGCTAGAAATAAAATCATATGATTGGCAAGAAAAATTACGAAACTCCATGGACAGTTCTTGAATTTTGCATGGTCAGAACTGACACCCTTCATTGCTTAGTCAATAACTCTCAATTCCCATAGGATCTCCACTAAAATTTTGTAGGT